TGGGCATGACCCCACAGACGCCGCGTCATGCTGAGCTGCTGGGCTGGAGACCCCAAGGCGAGGCCTGCGTTCTCAGAACTGGTGGAAATCCTGGGGGACCTGCTGCAGGGTGGGGGCTGGCAGGTGAGCCCCCGCGCCCCCACCCACGGCAGCCTCTGCCCCTGCCCCGGGTTCCTGCACCGCTGAGCCCTCCAGGCTCTGCCACCGCCTAACTACCGCCAGGCAAGGGGCGTGCATGCTCCGGCCTCGTCCCAGGGCTCCATCTCCACGCCCCGGCCACTCGCGGGGCGGGGGGACACAGGCCCCTTTCTGCTGGGCACGCGCCCGCTGTGCCTGCTCCAGACACCCCGTGACCCTGGGGGAGTCCCATCCTCAGGGCCTGCAAAGCATTCCTGCGCCTCTGCGATGCTGCATCTCTCCACCAGGTGGCACTCTGTCCCTGTCCCGTGCAGCACACTGACCCTTGGACCGTGGGCGTGTCTCCCTCCCCACGGGGTGGTCCTGAGGGGCGGGACCCAACCAGCTCAGGCACCCAACCTGAGACCGGGAGGAGGGCTCCCAGGAGGCCCGCTGCCTGGGCCTCGGGACTGCGGCAGGCACATTGGGTCCCGTTGCACCCGCAGAGGAAAGTGGGGGTCGCCCCCCTGGCTTGAGGCAGCAGGCACAGGGGTAGGTGGGTGGGCCCTGCCTGCCCGGCCCTCCTGCCTCCTGGGGTGCCCGCGGGGGCTGCTGGGAGAATCCGGCCTGGGTGGCACAGTGGGCGGTCACAGCCTCCACCCCTCGCCTCGAGGGCCGAGGGCTCCAGCGCCAGCTCTGGGGCCAGGGGCGGACGGGAACTGGGCAACACGTGGGGTCTCTGTGGCTGCCTCTGCGGTCCCCGCCAGGAGGAGGAACAGGATCCCACAGGCCCACGCAGCTCTCAGAGCTCGGAGGAGGACAGCTGCTTGCAGGCGTCCACCATGGCCCTACATGTGGCCGAGGCCGACCCGGAGGACAGCCCGCCCAGCCTGCACCGCCACAGCCTGGCCGCCAGGTCAGCCGCCTGCTGGGCCCGGGACAGGGAGCAGCTGGGAAGGATGCATCTGTCCTTGTGAGTCCAGGAGATGCCCAGCACAGCGGCCCGTGGCCGGGGCCTTCGGCTCAGGGCAGCGTGGCCTCTGAGGACTGCAGGGGCCTGTGCCCTGGGCGCCTGGCCCGCGGTGACTTTCTCGGGGCCTCCTCGGGCCTCCCTCTGCCGCCGGTGTCTTTCTGCCCCGAGCGCCTTCCCCCCGGCGTCAAAGACACGTCTTCTCACAGGAAGACAGTGGAGTGGGCTGGCTCTGGGCTAAGACTCCCCCTAGGGTCAAGGCACTGGTTAGTCCGCGGGGCGTCCCCAGAGCTACGAGCAGGAAGAGTCAGGGAAGGCCGCTCATTGGCCGGTGTTTGGGAGGTAGAACCTGGCCTCAGTCCCAGAGTTCTGCGCCAGGGGTCCTTACCCTGGCAGTCTGCACCCAGAGTCGCCGAGACGCAGGCGCCAAGTACGACCCCCTCTGCCCCAGCACAGGGCAGGCCAGGCTCAAGGACCAGGCCAGCGAGTTGGGTCGTGCCAGGCTGCCTCTGCCCGCCCTCGAACACGCACACAAAAGCACTCACATACGTGTGCACCCATGGGCAGGCCAGTGGTGGCGTGAAGCCCCAGGCCACCTGCCCGCACAGGGTGGCTCAGCCAGGGGAGGCCGCCAGGCCGACACCCACCAGCTCCCTGCCACACGGGGCCGGGCCCCCTCACATCCCGCGGCGGGGCCGGCGTGGACTTGGAGGAAGCGCGGCCAGGGGAGGGGCCGTGCCCAAGGCCCGCCGTGCCAGGGCCACATGGCGATATGTGAGGCGAGCCCGGGGCAGGCAGGGCACTGGAGCCCAGGCCCCGTCTGCACCCGCCCCAGGCTTGGGTCCTCCCGGGAGCCCCTCCTCAGCTCTGGCTGCTTTCTCTCCTCAGGTATTACAACTGTGTGTCCTTTCCCGGGTGCCTGGCCAGAGGGCCTCAGACCGCCAGTGCCTCCAGGATGAAGACATTCGAAGAATTCCCCATGACCCCAATGACCTCCAAAGCCTCTGTGGTACGTGGAAGTGGGCTGTGCCCAGATCAGGGCCACGGCCTTGGGGGCGGACACCAGCACAGCAGAAGCGACTGTCCGTTGAGCGGGCTTTCCCCTCCCTCGCCGTCCCCGCCCAGCTGCTCTCTGGCCACGTCCGGGCCCACACGCAGGGCCCCCTGCCCGGCAGCCCAGGCCCCATGAACAGCTTCTCCTCTGCGTGACCCAGATGGGGCCGGGCGTCCTGGGCCTGGTCAACAGGCTCTGGCTCCCTGAGCAGCTCCCTGATCCCTCAGCCAGACCACATGGACCTGGGCCCGTGCCTCCAGGGCCCCCGGCCTGACAGGCTGCAGGAGCCTCTCGCAGGATTCAAAGTGAAACCACCAGGTGGCAGGGGTGCGGAGCCCCCAACCCCCATGTGTCCCCACGTGCTCCTGGTTTTAACAACGGGCTGCCGGGGTCTTTTGAGGCCTCCCTGTTTCTCCTGGGATCCCCTGAGCGCACACCTGGCCACTGGAGGCCCCCAGCGTGGGGTATCCCACGGGCCAGACACAGTCCCCACACCTCAGTTTCTTCCTCCGTGCTGCAGGCATGGGACCCTCACCTGCACGCTCGGGACGGAACGGCCACCCTGCTTCCGGCTCAGCTCCCCTGGGGCAGGTGTGAGGGTCCTGCCAGCCTCTCCTGGCCAGGTGGCTGCTGCCCTGCAGGAATGCTCACGTGGGGTCCCTGGCCTCGGCTTGTCCTCGCACACAGGACAACCAGACGGACAGTGGGATGGTGCTGGCCTCGGAGGAGTTCGAGCAGATAGAAGGCAGGCACAGACACGAAGGCGGCTTCAGGTAGGTGCCCCAGAGCCTCCTCCCTGCAGGGGCACGGTGGCCCTCCGCAGAGGGAGGGAGGCTGGAGCCTGGCGTGCTGGCACTCTTTCCAGAACCTTCCGTGGCTCCCCAGGACCTTTTTGTGTGTTCAAGGCAAGCTGCTCTGAGACTGAAGGCCTTTGACTACCCAGCCCTCTGTCCATCACTCATCGCTGAAGGAGCCCCCTCCCCTTCACCAAAGAAGCCCCCTCCTCCCATCACCAAGAAGCCCCTTCCCCCTCACCCACGGAGCCCGCACCCCATCACCATGCAAACCCGGGGCACGTGGGTGCTGGTCCCAACACCTTTAATTTGACAGATGTTCAGGTGCATCCTGCTGAAACCGTGTATGACACACCCTCCCCCAGTCAGGGAAGCCCAGCGTGTCCCCAGACCCAGCACTAAGTCCACTGGTCACAGAAGCCAGGCAGACACTGTAGCCTGGGTTGAAGCTGTGTTTTCATAAGAGCAAAGTTCTTTGCCTGCACAGAGTCTGACTGGAGAGACGGTGAGCTCCACTTCCTCAGCAGGATAGCAGAAAAAGAAAGTTTGGGTCAACTGGGCTATTTAAAGTTTTAAAGGGAGAGAGAGAGAGAGAACTACTTAAAACATCCACTTGTTAAGGCCCGGCATAGTGGCTCTTGCCTGTAATACCGGCATTTTGGGAGGCCGAGGCAGGAGGATCGCTTGGGGCCAGGAGTTTCAGACCAACCTGGGCAACACAGTGAGACTTCATCTCTACAAAAAAATAGAAAAAATTAGCCAGGCAAAGCGGCACATGCCTGTAGTCCCAGCTATCCCGGAGGCTGAGGTGTGAGGATCACCTGAGCCCAGGAGTTCAAGGTTGCAGTGAGTTCTGATCACACCATTGCACTCCATCCTGGACAACAGAGTAAGACTCCAACTTAAAAAAAAGAAATTGGCTGGACGTGATGGCTCACACCTGTAATCCCAGCACTTTGAGAAGTCAAGGCGAGAGGATTGCCTGAGCCCAGGAGTTCCAGACTGACCTAGGCAACTCAGTGAGACCTTGTCTCTACAAAAAATTAAAAAATTAGCTGAGTGTGGTAGTACCTGTGGTTCTAGCTACTTAGAAGCCTGGGGTGGAAGGATTGCCTGAGCCCAGGAGGTCAAGGTGGTGGTGAGCTGTGATCATGCCACTGCACTCCAGCCTGGGCAACAGAATGACACACACCTGCAATAGCTTGTAGACCACTGGTCTTTCCCACTTTCTTCAGACCATTCACTTGCACCTCTAACATGTGAGTCTTTGTCAAGAGGCCTTGGGGCGTCGCCTGACAGTTTCCCAGAGCACATCCTTCCTTCTTCCTACGCTGTTTTTGAACCAACGTGTGATGTCGTCACTGAATATTTCAGCCTAAACCATGGGCATTTGTGTGATGAGGACAGTTGATGTCACCTTCACCTTCCTGTCCGTGTATTTATGATGTCTGCAACTTGGCCAATTGCCTGGTTTTTCCATCAACCTCAGACCTGCTGTCCTGGGCGTCCCCTGTGGGTCACGCCAGGGGTTCTGCGTGAGCGTCTTGCCTCCCTTTTTTGGATTACTGATTCTATTAATAGCCTGGGTTCGAGAGATGAAGGACAGCTACGTTTACAGAAATGGTTTTTGGCTAATGTTTCTTTACCAAACAGCATCTTGTCATTTTTAAAAAAGGTAATTAAGTAAAAGAGTAAACGGGATGATCCCATTTACATTCACACGTCTACACACCGTCATGAAAACAGCATGGCCCGTCCAGGAGATCAGAGGCCAACCCATGACCCGGAGAGAGTCTGCACATGTGTGAGTGAAAGGCTCCATGCCAGACCAGCAGACCTGGGCTGAGCCCACCGGGGCGGTCCGCGAGGGAGGAGCATGACCGGTCTCCAGGCCACGGCCACACAGACAGGGTGACCAAGGAGGCTGGCCTGGTGGTGGAGAGTGGAGCCTGGTCAAGTTCCAGGCCCAGGGCAGCCATCTTGGAAGGCCTGGAGCCGGTGGGGGAGTGCAGCTCAGCTGTGGTGTGGAGGAGGAAGAAGGTTCCAGAAAGTAGGGGTCCTGTGGAAGCAGCAGTACCCGGAATTCAGAAGACAGAGACACACCCAGCGGGCTCATCTATGACAGAAACTGCCCCTCCCTGAAGAGGCCCAGGGACCACCGTTCTCAGCGTGGGTTCCCTCAGACACACCATGATGAAACTTGAGGACGTGGCAGGTCCCTGGCGGGCACCTTCCTTGGTGTGTGCCCCGTCTCCGAACAAGGACAGGATGTGCCTTGAAAAGGCCCGGGGGAGAAGGAGGAGGGGCTTCACCTGCCTGGTCCTTTCCTGTCTCCCGGCCAGCATGGGTCACCTCGCCCAGGGAGTTGACACCTCCTCGCCTCCACGCTGCCTCCGGCCTTCTGGTGGCCACTCCGGACCCCGGCCCCACGCCCTGCGGTGTGGCTCTCGTCCACGTCTGCAGACAAAAGGAGACCGGAAACTTTGGAAGGAGTGGAGTGGGGGTGGCTATGTGGCCCAGCCAGTAGAGGACCCAGCCCTCTCTGGGCAAGAGCCTGGCTGGCCCCGGGGGCAGTGAGATCCCGGTGGACAGAACCTTTGCAGGGAAGAACGCAGAGGAGGAATCTGAGGTGATGGTCGAGAGGTGGCCAGACACAGCTCATGGCAATGAAGATTCCAGGGAGCCCCAGCCCCATCCATGGCATAGCCTGCTGTTTCAGGGGCAGGAGCTTCCAAAGTGAATAACTACAAACAAGAAAGAAACTCTAGCCACACAAAGCTATGAGAAGAATAAAGCAGAAAATTCAGTTTTAAACTTTCGATAGAAAAATGTTTAAATGAAGCAAAGGAAAACGAACACAGCAACCCAACATGGATTAGAAATATAATGAAGCAAGTAGCTGTGCCAAGAATCAGAAGCTCAAAAGTTCAGAACAGACATGAGCTAACAGGCCAGGCGTGTTGGCTCACACCTGTAATCCCGTATTTTGGGAGACTGAGAGGGGAGGACTGCTTGAGCCCAGGAGTTTAAGATCAGCCTTGGCAACACAGCAAGACCTCATGGTTACAAAATTTAAAATTAGCTGGGCTTGGTAGCACGCACCTGTAGGCCCAGCTACTTGGGAGGTGAGGCAGGAGGATCGCTTGAGCCCAGGAGGTCAAAGCTGCAGTGAGCTGCCATCGTGCCACTGCACTCCGGCCTGGGCGACAGAGCAAGACCCTGAGTCAAGGAAAAACAAACCACCACCATGTGAAGATATAAAATGGTAATTGAGTAAATTCAGGAAAGAGTTTGGAATAAAAGATGAATACTCTCAAAGAGGACGAGCATGCCGGAGGAAAGATGCAGAAGCCCAGACGGACGTGGGTGACACGAGGAGAAGAGTCGAGAAAATAAACCCAGAGAAAGGATCAGGAAGAGGGCGCGGGCGTAGGAAAGACCTCGTGCGTGCAACGCTGGGGTCCCCGAGGAAGGAGACGCAGACGGCTCGAGGCAGCTCCCTTCGACAAACAGAACACCTGCTTCCGCATGTTGGCAGGGTGCCTGGGAAGACCCGCCCGGAAGGTGAACTCCAGGGCGTATTAGCAGAACTACTTGACCTTGAAGATAAGCACGCTGGGAATTCGGGCAAGAAGACCACGCCCGTCGCAGGAGAGAGCGAGGGCGATGGGCATCTCGCGTGTCAGTATCACCGTGCAAAGCAAACGCGTCCCCAGCTCGGAGCACTCAGAGAAGGCGCGCTGGGGGTGGCCGGCTGCCGGGCTGCCGGAGGCTGGTGACGCAGGGGAGCGCGTGTCAGCGAGGCCTCTCTCGGGGCTGCGCGAGGCGGAGAGCAGGCGGCGGCGTGGATGTGCTGGGG